ATTTTAACTGAATGATCTTAGATTTTAATTTGGTAACAGTCAGTGTGTAACATTGAGGTTAGGGATAGTATATAAGATGGAAGAGTTTAGTTATTAACTGTCAGTCTGAAAGATGTTTGTATTAAATCAGACTTCGTTTTGACTGAATTAACCAGTATAATCATAATCAGTAGTTTGAACATTGACAGAATGATATCAATCTAAAACGTCTTGATCATAAATATTATTCCTAATGTTACAATCTTCTATCTTCCTCAATTTCTAATTCCTATCTACTGAGTTTTCCATTTCGTACCGTTATTGCTATATTGGTGTATTGTTTAGACTTGCCTATCCTGATGACAGAATCAAGCTTTGTCGAGTAGAAACATTTGATCTCTTAGATCCTACTATATCACATAGATTGACTGGAGAAAGATGGAACTGAAAGCAATAAATTAAGGCGTGATGATGAAATAATACTCTCAAATGTACAGGAAAGTGAATTCAGTCAGTCGTTTCTCTAAAACACAAGCATAGTCAATAATGCTGCCATCTCCCCTCAGTGAAAGAAGAAGATTGAAAAGGATGGGATCCAAAAATAGTATGTCTCACCCCGCTCCCACAGATTTCTGTCACTGAGAGTAATGCCTTGATGGTACGGAGATCACACATTGCGAACACTTCACTGAAAGATGATATGTGACCAACCTTAAGTAGTTGTCCTTTATTCTCTAAAATCATACTCCTAGATTGTTCAGAAAAGCATTCAACATCACTTTTGATTAAATAACTTTTAACATCAATATTTTGCTAATTTCATTCTAATCTTTTCATAATATTTTGTTGGTTTTCTCTTTGAATGTGTGTTGGTATGTAGTTTATCAAATAATTTCTGTCATAATTAGATGATTTTAGCAGATGTGGGGAACCTTGGAAACCATTCTACAGGATCAAATCACGGAAACTATGTTTAATGTGTATTTATTCATGAATTTATTTATGGAGTTTTGATTTCCCCTCCACAATAAGCTTCCACTTGACACAATAACTGTAGCAAGATCATTTGTCCGTCCGTAAATTACAGTTGATTAACTATAAACCTGTTACTTAATTTGTGATACCATAAATTTCTTGTTGTGTAATTTTGAGATTCAGTATTTACAGTATCTGGTAGTCCGACTGATTGCTATTGATTTCAAGAATAAAGATAGTACAGATTAGTGAAAGTTGTTTAGTCTTCCTAATTTGCTGATTAGTGGATCATGGAACTGATAGAACGTTTTAGCAAGTGAAAAAACTGTGTAGGCAGGCTAATAGTGGCTAAAGTATTGTGTAGCAATGGGATTTAGTGCGTTTACCATTCCATTTATATTACAAGTCTCATCAACCCTACTGGGCTTGTGACTGAAATAATCGCGGAACCGATTCAGGATGCTCGACTGGCTTATACTAACGCACGTCAGTTGCAGAGTAGTTGAGATATCTGTCTCACAAACAAAAGGATGACTATCCTATATACAAGCCCGACCACCACGTTAAGGTAGCACAACGGTCGGGATTAGACAGTCGTGGCCCTAATTTTACAGGTTTATGCCACCTACTTACTTACGCCTATTAATCCTCTTAGTCTGACGAAAAGAAAGTCATGTTTCTAGCATTTAAATCTTATTCACAGTAAAATTCGCCAAACGATTCTCAAGGATTTTTGGAGCATCTTTCTAAATAAATGATCTTCTAGCTGTTCTAAAGAGACGTACGAAATAACACGAGTAGGGTAATAAGGATAAATTATTGCTTACCCCTAATAAATATGCCTTTTTGATGGTCTCTCTTTTGATATCCATCCTTTTTAATGTGCTCCCTTTTTTTACCGCCATTTTGCTTGCTGTCTTTTGAATGAAAAATTCTTTCTATAACTCCTAGTATGACTTTCAAAATTTACTAATAAATAGTTTTATTACCATTTAAGACCTAACCGGCTCGAAATCCTCTATTGTCAATTTATAATTCAGACACATTGAACCATGAATTCTGCATATATTACCTGATGTACTTACTTGCTTACGCCTATTACTCCCTATGGAACATAGGCCGCCAACCAGCATTCTCCAAACCACATTGTCCCACTTTGACTTCCTTTCTAATTCTATCCAATTCTTGTTCATTCTTCTCATGTCTCTATCCATTTCTCAATGTAATGTGTTCTTTCGTTTTTCTCTTCTCCTCATTTGACCTTGAGAATTTGATGTGTGGGCTTGCCTTGTGATGCAGTTTGGTACTTTCCTCACTATGTGTCATATCCACTTCCAGCACTTCTTGATTTCTTCCTCCACGGGAATCTGGTTTGTTGTACCCTAATTATTGGACATTTTTATTGCATGCTTATGGCAGAATTGTTGTTGCACCATAAACTTACGTTCTCATGTATTATTATTATTATTATTATTATTATTATTATTATTATTATTATTATTATTATTATTATTATTATTATTATTATTATTATTATTATTATTATTAGACATGTCCCATAATGTACTACGGAAAAAGTAATATTCATTTCGAAACAAATAATTCATACATTTAATGTTAGTCTTGAATGACATGGCTCAAAATCGGTTGCAATGACGCAGGTGCATCCACTCTTTGTATTCACCCGAATTTTAATCTTCTGAATTCTTCATGTCCCTTATTTTTTCTTCCCAAATTTGTTTCACTGGATTATACTCATTGGGTAACATCGTCAAACCCTAATCCTTCCGATTACTACTTATACTTTTACTACCTCTAACACGATGAGATTCGAATCGACAATTGTATCTTTGTACTAATGTGGTATGGTAATTTGAACTGATGTACATACGTACGTACGAAATCCTACGTTGTTGCTGACTGACTGACTGACTTATTCAGTCATTCACTGTTTTTTTTCTCCTTTAAGTTTAGTAGAAATACATATTTGTGCAGTTTTTAACCGTATCAAGCATTGATTTCATCATTCGTTGTGTTTGTTGTTGTTATTATTATTGTTCAATACATCAATTTGTTTCACATTTTTTGGCTTTGAATATTCCATTGTGCGTTGTCAAGTTGGTTGGAATACAGTCATAATTCATGTGTTTCATGCTGTGATTTCTTATGAATTTTTCACTTTATTTATACTTGAGTATTGTACAAAAGTATTTTTACAGGATTTATCACGCAATGTAAAATGATAGTTTGTTGTTTTGTTTTTGAATTTTGCGGCGAAAGAATGAAAGTCGTTTTCTTAATTCTGATTGGCTCATCGAATTATTATAGTTACATGGATTAAATGAACTGAATAGTACATTTTAAAGTTTTTGATGGATTTTTGTTCTCTGAGCTGGATGGTTTGGTCGTGAAGCTTTCATTGTTCTTCTGAAGTTTGCCGTTCAGAAGAACGATGAAAGCTTCAAGACCAAACCATCCAGCTCAGAGAACAAAAATCCATCAAAATCATCCACCTGAGCTACAAATCTTCTCCATCATCACATTTTAAAGCGTCAGATTCAAATTCATTAACTAACTGTTGTTATACTTACTACACAATTTAGAAATATTGAAGATGTTTGATTCCATCTGGAGGTGACGGATGCATAATACGATAAAAATGAATACTTAGCGTATTTCATTTCTCTTAAATGAATCTAAATTATAACATTTAATTATTCTTTGATTGTCACAACTGATTGATCACTGGGTGGTGATCAATGTCATGTGTGTCAAGTCCTTATTTAGTGCAGATTGAATGCTATCGATCATGTTGCAATGTGGTTACCAGTCTAGGCGACTCAACATTGCGGGCACTATATATTGAGATTAGATGGTGGTTGGAGGTAGTGACACGGGATCTAATCCACCAGGGAGCACCAGTTCTTTCAGGATTACAGGTACACTTTGCTGATGAGTACCAAGTAGCACGAAACCCAGGTCCAGGGTTTCTTGTCGACTACTTCCAACCACCATCTAATTCTTTGATTGTAGATGCTACCCTTGATAAGATGTTCAAGATTGTTTACCATTATGAACCAATGAAGCATATGGACTATAACACTCGATCTCTTAGTCCTGCCATACTACACAGATTAGTTGGATAAAGATGTACAGAGGTGTGACACCAATCATGTTTCCATAAAACTATCAGCATAATCAATGGTGCTACCACCTCTTATCACTAAAAGAAGAGAGCTAAAAAGTGTGGAATCTAGAAATAGTATATCCCACTTTAACCCGTAGATTTTAATCACTGAAAATAATGACTTGAAGGTATGGAGCTGACACATTTAGAACTCTACAAAGAAAGATGATATGAGAACAACTTCAGGTTATTGTTGCTTGGGCACTGATATCACCTTTGTCAGACCGTCAAGACCACATCAAACTCAATCTTCTTTTCCTGGCAACTCAAGAACTATGATCTTTCCTTGAAGTGAGCAACATGCAAGTAGTAATTCTCATCTTACATGTTCATACTGAGACTCGAACCCAATAACTTCCACTTCAAACGATAATGTCTAATGTGCTGAGCTACTGAGTTTAGATATTATTAGCTTCTGAAAATGCACTAACGAGAATGGAGACTGCCTTAATACAGTTCTTAACCTCAAAAATAGGAAAAAGACACAAAAACTTATAAATAATGTGACAAAAATCTCAGCTATATAATTATTAGCTATCCATCATCGATGGTATAGTCGTCCTTCGTTTGCATGAGAGACATCTCGACTACTCTACAAGTGATGTGAGTTAGTATAAACCAATCAAGCGTTTTGAATCAGTCTCGAGCTCAATAGGGTTGATGAGATTTCCACTGTAATATGGTGGACGCTCTTATTAATATCACTCTCTATCATTAGTTGATATTTGTTTTTTAAAAAAACATATTAATAATGAAACTTAAGCTCTCCGCTCGACTTGAATTCAGAAATGTTATTAATCCGTATTATAGTGACTGAGTGACCTGTTTTTGTGATTGAGATACATTGATTGAATAGTTACTCAGATTTTATTTGTCTATTCACATATGTTGATCGTATTCTATCGGACAAATTGGAATATGCACTTTAGTCCAAGGAACTTAACATTGTGTATGCTTTAAGTTGTTATCAAGTGTTTTGAGGTGATCTTCATAATCTCCTTGTATCCAACTCTGTTCTTGACTTATATCAACCTAATATATCTATTCTTTTAAAAGGATTAATGTCCCTACTTTGTGCATAGAGGACAGCTGATAGACGCATTCCAAGTAAGGACCGGAGTCAGACAAGGCTGCCTACTCTCTCCCTTTCTCTTTCTTCTGGTGGTTGACTGGTTTATGAAGACCTCAACATGTGAGGGAAAACACGGCATACAATGAACAGCTCAGAACCAATTAGACGATTTGGACTTCGCAGATGACCTAACCTTCCTATCGCATAAACACGAACAAATGCAGATAAAGACTGCCAGTGTAGCAGCAGTCTCTTTATCAGTAGGCCTCAATATACACATGGGGAAGACCAAGGTCCTCAAATTCAAAACGGAAAACAACAATCCAATCACTCTTGACGGTGAAACTCTGGAAGATGTAGAATCCTCCACATACCTGGGAAGCATCATCGATGAACATGGAGGTTCAGATGCAGATGTAAAGGCGAGGATTGGCGAAGCAGGGGCCGTATTCTTACAATTGAAGAACATATGGAACTCAAAATAACCAATATCAAGTTCACAATCTTCAATACAAACGTCCATACAGTCAAAACATACAGAGCTAAAACGTAGAGAACTACCACAAACACCATCAAGAAGGTGCAAGTATTTATAATAGTTGTCTACTCAAGATACTCAACATCCATTGGTCGGATACCATCAGCAAGAGCCTTCTGTGGGAGAAGACGAACCAGCTTCCAGCTGAAGAGAAAATTAGGAAAAGACATTGGAAGTGGTGGATAGGACATACATTACGCAAATCATCAAAGCGCATCACGAGGCAAGCACTAACTTGGAATCCTGAAAGGAAACGAAAAAGAGGGAGGCCAAAGAACACTTTACGTCGGGAAATAGAAGCAGATCTGAAAACGATGAATTACAACTGGACGGAGCTAGAAAGGATTGCCCAGGACAGGGTTGGATGGAGAATGCTGGTGAGTGGTCTATGCTCCTTCACGAGCAGTAACAGACGTAAGTGATGTCCCTACTTTGTACAACTGGATATCATACAACTATCAATACAAACTGATAAATTTCTACTTTTCGCAACATCAAAAGATATTAACTACATGTCTTGGATAAAAATAAACGAAAACCTATAAAACTTCTCAATGTCGAATATATAAGCATATATAAATCCATTTACTCATTCAGTCATGGAATCATCTACTACTTTCTTACTAATACAGACAATATTGATTTTAAAAGAGAAATCAAGTCTGTTGTCATGTTGTTCCAATAATAATATGCATACTTTATACAAATACTATATTTTGAATTAACCTTATTTTTGTAACTAACTGATCCAATTTTACGACATTCAACGATGTCCAGAATGTAGGACAATATGTTTTTATATTTTCATTCCTACAAAAGTACTCCTATACGCGTGTATATAGATTTTTAAAAAAAATACCTGGTTGTATTTGATAATGTATTATCCTATGGATTAGGCATAGTGATTAGCAGTGTGTACGTGTGTGTGTATGTATGTGTATGTATGTTATATATAACTGAACGACCATTAATTTAGAATCTTTATGGTTGTGTGTATATTTGTATGTGTGTATATATAGATTGATGATAATTTTATTTGACAAATGATGACACTGGTTCTAAATGTGTAAAACTGATAACTTTTTTTTGGGGTGGGGTGGGGTGCACAATTCGATGTGTTTAACTTATGTTAAGTGATAGAATTCTCATAATGATCTGAAAGAATGTTACACATATTTACAGTGAATGATTTGAGTGAGTTTTGTAAATAACTAGACGCATACAATCAATAAAACAAACTAATTGTATAACTTTTCAATTATTGTATATGTGACTAATTTATGTATTTGATTATTGGAGTTGTATATGTTTACCATTTTAGATGGTTGAATAAGGTGCATTATGATACCAATTATTGAATGACATCACCAACATTGTTTGATCATGTAATAGTGACCAATATCACTATTATTTAGTCATTTAGGATTGATTAAATTCAGTTGATCAAATTATCTTGTAAGCAGTAGTTTAATTGATTTGAGGTGTTAGGTAGTCCGCAGGAGACATGGACAAATATTTCGTAGAAGTTGGCTTTCGTCATGGAGGCGTACCTTCAATCTGAAAGGAACCTATGCTCGTTGGTAGATTCGAATCTGTGTCACCCAACTTTGTATTCTGAGATATTTCTACCAATCACTAAACCTCTGGAGATTGCAGTTATGCCTTCCTAATAAGTGCCAACTGGTACGAAACCCCAGATTCACGGTTCCTGTCGATAACATCCAACTATCTGACATCATGATATAAAAATAAATGGAAAGAACACTAGGTATGGTTAGAAGAGGGCATAGAATCCGTTGATGAAAGGACAAACTTTTCGTTTGGACTTCGCCTAAAAGTGATGACCTATATTTTAACATTGAGTAATATAACTATTAGACTTATCGCCGTAGAAAAGTTGTATTTAGTTCATTTCAGTCTTATTCTCATGGTTTACATTTATCGATCTAATTTATTCTGTTTTATTGAAAGCACGAACCGATCAAATTTAGACCATCATTGAAAAGCTGGAAGCCTAGAACAGTCGTTTCATCCATGTATTAGACTCCTCAGAAGCGTATATATACGGCCCTAAAAGCAAGGGCTGGACCAAGGACCCTCGATTACGCTTGATCTCTTGACCACAAGGCTTAATCCCATCACTCCGTAATGTTAACCAATCGTGTTCAACTGTCTCCAGTAGGTACCTTCCTCACACCCGACACAATGTAGCTACTCTGATCAGGGTTTTTCACTAAAACTTCGAAAAAATTTCCTCTCGAAGTTAGTCATTAGTGAGTACATAATAATTATAAGCATAGTCTTACATAGGTGTACAAGTTTGACTTCAATTCCACTTTTATTATATTACCATTCTAACTATTATAATTTCTTTTGTCATTTCCTCGCTAACTATCTTATCAATTTCTTTTCTTTATGTATTGATATAAGGTGTTGTAACTTGGCCCGATATAAATTTTTGTCAGACTGTATGTTGATATCGATCGACTGGATGACCAATAGCCAATAAGCTTTCATTAGCATTTGTATCCAGTCCAATATTATATGTGATAATCATAATATCCAACTATTTATCACATTCTATTAGCATATTTCATGATTTCTTCTATACTTTCGACTAAACAGTTACATTTAGTAGTCGTGACATAACTTACTAGTTTTAAGTAAACTAATGTTTGCTGGTAAAATAAGTTTACGACCTTTGAGAATTAGATCATCAATTTTTTTTTACATGAACCAGGCAACTTTCATATACGCAAAGATGGATAAAGGTTAGCAGTGGAATCCAGTTTGACACGAGTTTCGTCCTATTTGGGACTCATCAGCTGAATGTACCTGCATCTCAGAGTTGATGTTCACTCTGGGACTCGCACCCAGTACGTTCGCATCAAACTCCATCACAATATCCACTTAGCTAGTGAGTCTCGATAGCCACCTGCTTGTGCCATGGGTGAAGACATATTCACTTGGTGTTGTTTACTTGTGTCTTCCTAATGTTATTTAGGACGGCCATTGATCAGTCTCTTGTTAACACATCCGACTGACGAGTCCTAAACGGGACGAAACGCGCGTCAAACTGGATTCCACTGTTAGCCACTATCCATCTTTGCTTATACAGCTTGTGAATTAAGGCAATACCGAGGCGTTCCGCACAGGATGCACATATGCCAACAAGATACAAGTAAAACAGCACCAAGTGAATATAAATTTCATATACCTTCATGATATTCACACTTCTATTAATTCGAAAAGCAAAAATACAGTGGTTTGTAAAATTCTACTTGGAATTCATTATGTATGATGATTTACTAAATAATCGTCTAAATTATTGTAATTTAGTTGGTGAATATATTAAACTTATCCTTACTTACTTACTTACGCCTCTTACTCCTAATGGAGCATAGGCCGAAGACCAGCATTCTCCAACCCATTCTGTCCTGGGCCTACTTTTCTAGTTCCATCCAATTCTTGTTCATCTTTTTCATGTCTATTTCCATTTCCCGGCGTAATGTGTTCTTTGGTCTTCCTCTCCTCCTTTGGCCTTGAGGATTCCATGTGAGGGCTTGCCTTGAGACGCAGTTGGGTGCTTTCCTCAATGTGTGTCCTATCCACATCCAGCACTTCTTCCTGATTGCTTCCTCCACTGGGATATGGTTTGTTCTCTCCCACAGTAGGTTGTTGCTAATAGTGTTCGGACAACGGATCTGAAGTATTTTGCGTAGACAACTGTTAATAAACACCTATATTTTCTGGATGATGGCTTTCGTAGTTCTCCAGGTTTCCGCCTCATACAGTAGAACTGTGTTGACATTTGTATTGAAAATCCTGACATTGGTGTTGGTTGACAGTTGTTTTGAGTTCCAGACGTTTCTCAGTTGTAAATATGCTGCTGTTGTTTTGCCGATCCGTGCCTTCACATCTGCATCAGATCCACCATGTTCATCAATGATGCTGCCCAAATGTGTAGAGGTTTTTACATCTTCCAAATCTTCTCCGTCAATTGTGATTGGATTGGTGCATGCCGTGTTGTATCGGAGAATCTTGCTCTTCCCTTTGTGTATATTGAGACCTATTGCTGCTGAGGCTGCTGCTACACTGGTTGTCTTCTCCTGCATTTGTTGTTGCGTTTGGGATAGAAGAGCCAGATCATCTGCGAAGTCTAGATCGTTCAGTTACATCCTAGCTGTCCACTGTATCACATGCTTCTTCCCAGATTTCGACGTCTTCATGATCAGTAAAAATAAAAAGGTTGAAAGTAAGTAACCTTGCCTGACACCGGTCTTTACTTCGAACGAGTTTGTCAACTGTCCTCCATGCACGATTTTGCAGTTTAATCAATCATATGAATTTTGTATGATATTGACTATGTTGTGAGGCACGCCGTAGTGTTGAAGAAGCTTCCAGAGTGTTTTCCTGTCCATGCTGTCAAATGCCTTTTATAGTCAATGAAGTTGATGTAGAGTGAAGAATTCCATCCAAGTGATTGTTCCACAATGATCCGTAGAGTTGCGATTTGATCTGTACACGATCTGTCCTTACGGAATCCTGCCCGTTGATCTCGAAGTTGGACGTCTACCGAGTCCTTCATTTTGTTTAACAACACCTTGTTGAAGACTTTTCCCGGTATTGAGAGAAGAGTGATGCCCCTGTAGTTATCACAGTTATCACAGATCGCCTTTCTTTGGTATTTTGATCAGAAGTCATTCTTTCCAGTCTGTTGGTACTTGT